TAGAACAATCAATTATTATATATGGAATAGAAAAAAAACCTTATTTTTGTTTCTTGAAGATTTAAATATATTAATATAGGTCTAATCCAAATAGCATTTAAACCTTTAACCTTAAAGGTATTAAAAGCTTCTATCTTAGCATGTTTGTGTGATGGTAGATGTTTAAATAGGGCAAAATCCTTGATGAAAGTTTTAGAAACAAGTTATGTCACGAGCCAATATATTTTAATACATATACAAATTTTTATTTTTTTTTTTCTCTTACTAATGTTAATTTGTATGAAGTAGTAAAATTACAGCTACAAATGCATCTTACCAGAATACGAGACTATTGCATTGATTTATCAAATCTATTTTAAAATTATGAGTACATTTTTTTCAAATATAAAAAGGATTCATCGACCTACAAACAAAACTACACTCATAGAAACTAATTTGTTTGTTCTAATGTAACAACCAATATAGTTATTAAATGAATTGAGTTTTTTTTTTTTTTTTTTCAGATTCATGGATATTATCTGGAGTAAATCCTAAACCCATTATTAATCAATAAATAGACCAAATTATTCAAAATACAGATGAAAAATTAGAAGTTTGATTTAACCTTAGGAGATCTATATCTTTAGCTAAAATATATTTACCCTCTACCTCTCTTCCTTCGTCCTCTACTTCAGTTTCTAAAAGAATGATAAATTAAGAAATAATAAAAGAACCAATAACAAATGTTCAGTTAAATTCACATCAAATCTTATATTCAGTAAGAGATCATACATCGCCTACCCCTTCCGAAATGAACTTTAACTTTAAATGAATTACGAACTTGGAAGTACATATAGGGTTATTTTAATTTATAATTACTTATCCCCAAAGTATTACATTCTTTGAAATTAGTATAAGAAAAAATGTTGAAGAATGTGATACAAAACAATTTTTCAGAGTTATATTTTAAAATTATGGCTGATAGAAATTAGAAAGGAAAAGCCAACATTCTAATATTTTGAAAGAACAACCTCAATACTAATATCTATTATTGATAATACGATCGAAATTGATTATAAAGTATCCAATTCAATCATATGTAAAGGTGAATATTATATCTATACTCCTTTTTTTACTTGTAAGAAATCTTTCTCAACATATAATATTAGGAACTTCTTTTCTAAATCAAATCATGCCAATTAAAATGGCTTCATGGGGAATTATCTCATAATGATTTCATGCTCCTTTAAAATATCAGTTTATTACTAATCCTAGATTAATCATTATAAATGAAATAAACCAAATCAAGTTCAAAACTCTTCATATTAAGAACAAATTCACTATAGTAAATTTCAAGAAAAAATAATAAAATACATCAACATTCAAAAAATAAAATTTGTGGAGACAATCCTATAGCTTTTCGGGAAAGAAAAACACAGTATGTTTCATTACCTTCAATGACTAAGATATGCCTACAAAAGCTAGACCGTGTCAAATGAATAAAGAACTATATTAAATTATGTAAGATTGAAATAAATGAATCATTAGCCAAAGGGATTATTAGAAATTTATTTTCTCTTTGGTGTTGTACATCATTTTAAGTTGAAAATGCTATTAAAAAAGAACACACTAAACATAGGCTAGTAATCAATTATAAACCTTTAAACAATATACTTAAATGGATAAAATATTGTATTTCTAACAAAAAAAAAATTATTAAATCAGTTAAATAACGCTATTCTCGTTTTAAAGTTTGATCCTAAATCAAGATATTCACAAATTCAAATTAAAGAGTAAGATCGATACATAACTACTTTTATCGTTCCATTTGATCATTACGAATAGAATGTGATGTCATTTGACATTAAAAATATGTCTTCTAAATTTCAAAATATAATGAGTGAAATATTTAATCTTTATTCTACTGACATTATTGTATATATCGATGATGTTTTACTTTTTTCTCATACTATTGAAGAACATATTAAACATATCGATATTTTTAAATGACTTGCTAAGAAAATCGGATTAATCATTTCAATAAACATTTTTCAAAAACAAATTCTTTTCTGAGACATAATATTTTGAATTAAACTATATAGCTAATTTTTATAATAATCTTGCTTTAGACACAACCCCTATTTTTGATAGACTTGAACAAAAACTCTCATATTCGGTATGATATTCCATCAGTGAGAAAAATTTTCAAATGAAGTTTAAAGTCTGTGAGGTCATTGACAATCAGTTCTTCTAGCATGTAAGTTTTTTAAGTATTTGTATTAATAAAGCTTTAAATTATTCAGTGTGAACATTTCATTCTCTTCTATAAGTGGTCAAGTTTTTAATCTTCAAGCAATTAGGGGTGTAAACGAACCGAACACGAACAAACAGAGCTCATGTTCGTGTTTGTTTCGTTTGAAATTTAGTTTGTTTGAAATAAGCTCGTGTTCGAAATTGTTCGTGAAATCACTGTCTGTGTTCGTTTCTTAACGAACGAGTCAAACAAGAGCCGAACACGAGCTGTTCGCGAACAACGAGCCAGTTTATCATCCCTAATATTAATATATATAAATAATATCTTATATTAATTATATAACTTATATTATATAAATATATAATATCTATAAGTATATTACTAATATAGTATATGAATATATTATTATTATTAATGTATTATATATTATAATTTATAAAATTTAATTTTTTAAAATATCATAAATTTTTTTATGTATAATTATTTTATATTTCAAACAATAACGATTCAAACACGAACGAACGCATCACTGTTCGTGTTTGGTTTGTTTAACTGACCGAACGAAAAAAATTTGTTCATGTTCGTCTCGTTTACTTATCGAACGAATCGAACATGAACTTATTGACGAATAGAACACGAACTGTTCGCGAACAACGAGCTTTTTTGACAGCCCTACTAGCAATAAGTAGTCTGTATCTTTATTTATTTATGTTGTTTTATTGTTTTCTCAAGAAGTAGAACTTTTTTCCCACCCAAATATCATCAAATTAGGAGCTTATCATTGTGTGAATTAAGATAAAACTCATAATATTGGCCACAATTTCTAAAATCATTGTCAATTGAAAAAGCTCATACCCCATACAAAATAGACAAATTTAGAGGCAATTATAGCAGGCAAATATGAGCAAAAAATTCTAAAATGAGCAAAATAATTTAAGTAGCCATTCACTCAGCGATTAGCATTGGCAACAAATCTAGCCGAGTTGAATAGGTGTTTATTTGAGTTTGAGTTCATGTATTGAGGCCTAATCATGTTTGGCTCGAGTTCTCTACGAGCTTTCAGAAATTTATTTGCGCTCGATTTTGTCTCTCATTGCTTTGTTCGAGCACGGGCAACTCCTTCAAGCAAATAAGTAAAATCATAATGAAGCTTTACATGGATAGCTAGTTCGAAAAATAAGCAAGTCATATCAAATAAAGTTTATTGAGCCTAAACATTTAATATTTTAACAATTATTAGTTCATAAAAAAATATTTAACTTAAACTTGATCATGGACATTAAATTCATCAACATGCATAAATTTAACATGTTTTTTTAATCTTATCTATTTAATAATTGAATATTTATAATAATATTCATGCTCGTTTAATTAGTTAATCAAATGATGGTAGAACAACAAACTTGTCAAACACTCCATTTACATGAGCCATTGCCCACGTGGCATGAAGATCTTGCCAATTATTTATTTTTCCAACTAAAAATTTATGCTTGATATGTGATTTTTAAGACCTTCACCCTGCTTTCTCTCAATTTACAAAAAAAACCTATGTTTTTAAACACAAAAATTTAACTTATCCTAATTTATTTATTATTTAAAATCATTTTCTTCTTGGAAATTATATTTATTTTGGTCAAAATGAATAATAATGTATAAATAATGGCTAAATTTTAATTTAATTTATATAAAGATCTTAAAACTATTTCAATTTAAAAAAAAAAACAAAAGATTAAAATCTTCAACTATTAGGCATTTTGTCATACCACCTAAGCGGGCGGGCTCCGCATGAGCGAGATTCTCATGCCATGAGAAGTCCGACTGCATATGTGGTTGGATGATGGCACCTAAAGGTATAAGTGAGCTAAGCTGACTCGAGCTCGACTTAATAAAAAACTCCTGAACATAGCTCAATCAGCTAACAAGCCAAGCTCAAGCCAAACCCGACTCCACTTGTTAGCTCGTGAACCGACTCATTTAAAAAATAGTTCTTAAAAAATATGCTTAAAATATATTAAATTTCAAGAAATTTTTTCTTTGAATTATATTTAACAATATATCTTACACTTTGTATCAAATTATTTTTTATTAATTATATCCTAAATATTTTATTTGTCATTTCTTTATAACACTAGCTTAAATTAATAGATTTTTCTCTTTCATATTAAACAAACGGGCTTGTGAGCCAACTGGAACTCGTAGAGTGAAGCTCGAGTTCGAACTCGATTAATTAATTAAGCTCAAGCTCAAGCCAAGGGTTACTCGAACTCGACTCAGCTCGTTTATACCCCTAAATGCACCCATTAAAGAAGCTATCTTGCTCCTAACGTTCTCCCAACCACACATTCAGTTTAGTACATGCTATCATTGAAATTATGCCAAAAACAAACAAGTAAACTATACATAATTAATCCTAATGAGAGGCACACCACCTTGGTTTCCAATCCTCCATGGTCGCCTCTCAAACTCCTCTTTAAAATAAATAATTAAATAATGACAAAGGTGTAAGAAAAAGCATTTAACTCCCACAAAAAAAATTAATATATAATTTTTACATAACAGTGGTTGTTTGCTGCATAAGGCATTATAATCTGAATTATATAAGTTCTTTAAAGCAATGACTAGCACCCCTTAGCCATATAAAAGCAAAGAGGTTAAAATCCCCTAAAAGGAACTTGTGATGTTCAGTTCCTAACCAGGTTTAGCACATCATGATAAATTAATCAATTAAAGGCTGCATAAGCAATCAAATCAGCCAAAAACTTTGATGGACTCAGTACAATGAATATATTTGCAAAAGAGCTAAAATAGTTTCTCCAGTTATGGAGGGCATACATGAAGAAACTCATCATGGGAAGGGCTCCAAATGTTAAAAATTCAGAAGCCAAATACAGGATTACATACAAAAAAAAAAGGGAAAAAAAGTGGAACTTAAGCTTCGCTTGGATTGAGGGAAAGCATGGGAAATGAAGTGAGATCCAAACAAATTTATGGGTTGCTTTGTAATCTTCAAGCTTTTCTTTTCTTTTTTTCTTTTTTTTTTGTTTTCTTTCATACAATCCCATCATCTCCCTTGAATAAAAGAAAAAAAAAAATCTAAGATACAGAGCCAGAGAGGATGCTTACATGAGGCATCAAAGAATTTACGCCCAAATCTCGTGAATAATTCCATGTCTAGTCCTAGAAATGAACAAACCTGCAAACAAATAAAAGATAATCAGATCATCTGCAAAATAAAATCAAAGGCAATTGTACACCTATATGCAACGGGTTATGTTAATCAAGTTGTTATCAGGACAAATTGGGTTCAAGAAGTTCTTGAAACAAAGACAGACTTAACTGGCCTCCAATTCGGAACTCAACCAAAAACATCTCAGACAAGCCACTTAAGTTGGTCCTAACTTGATCTTCAATATTAAGTTACTAAATTTGCCCGAGGAACATACGAAGTTCCCCATTAATCGTTATTTGCACAAAGAACTTTTTAACTCAGTATTTTTCAGCGAAGTTTTCATTAAATAAATTCTCCAAAAGTACTCGTACTCAATTTGAAACCTTCTTGTTTTTTTACTCAATTTGAAACTTATATGCAGTTCCATGACTACAATTCGGCTTCAAGACAAGCTCAGATGGTACCCAGCTAGTTATAGGTGAGTTTAACCTATGAATTTACTATGTAATTGTATTATGCGGCCAATTCTACAAAGTCAAACTAGCAAAGTCAAACTCAATCCTCATCTATGAATAAAAGGTTAATAGTTGAGCTCGGGCATAGCAAAATAATATGAATCTAGCAAGAATTTCTCTATAATTTCTTAACTTCTTGATTGTTTCTCTATAGCTCAGTTACAGTCACCCGACTTTATTTAAAGGAGTTTGATCAAGAGTCTTTGTAAACTCCATTCTTTAGGATACCCAATGAGATCAAAATTCTCACTCTTATTATAGCTCTTTGGATTTGACTCATTTCTTTAATAAAGTATTAGAATCCTTTCAAGGAAACTTTATCGGATTGTTTGGTTTGCTGAAAAAGAGATGCAATGTATTGTATTTGGAATACTTTGAAGTTGTTTGGCTCGGTACAAAATAAATGCAAGACTTCACATTTTTTTTGCTTTGTTTAAGAAAAAAAAGAAATTAATATGCGTGGCTAGCAGGCAGATTGCAATACAGTAGGGAATATTTGTTCACACAAGAAGGATCCCATACAAATGAAATCCTGACCAAATTTTATGATGTCACATAGGATAGTTCTTATTCATTTATGTTTTTCTCTTCTCTCTTAAAATCTAAGCTCATCCTTTTTGTCTAGGCACCAAAGGATCTCTCTAAAACGTAAAATGCTCTAAGAAGTAATCAATTCTCATGCTCATTCTTCATCTCGGGAGATTGCCTTATCTTTATTCTTCTCGAAAATGGAAATTCATAATCTTAGTGAAAAGGCATCTAACAAATGAAATGACAAGCTTTCTGCCAATCCACAGAAAGGTAAATTGCAATTTTTTACAAATTGGGAAATATTAATAAGATTAAGTTAAATATAAACACGATATGGAAAATTTTAGTAAAAGATAAATCTTCAAGAAACTACTTAACATTGTAAATATTTTTGGCATTTATATTGATATTGCTTCCTCTTCTCCCGGGATAACAAAAAGCATTCTGGCACAACTTACTATGACTAAAAAAAGGGGCATGGATTAAGTTGAGGTGCGAAGCAAAAATCTTTTCTATTAAATAGAAAGCAAGTGATGAATGGGATGGAATTGCTTAAATAGCTACTTTATGTATTAGAGTGGGGTAGGACATGCATTGACTTGCATCAGTAGCAACTAATGAACTCTTTCAAATCTGTTGTGCTAAAAACTATCTCTACAAAAAAAGTTACCCTCTTTCATATCACATCAGAGAAAGCAAAAAATATTAGGACACTTTCAGTCACCCTAAACTGACTTGAATCTGAACTGAACACAGATAAAATCTGACCAAAATTGGATTCCTTTTTGGGTCACACGATATAGAAGTTTAAACCTTCCCTTCTTTTCCCTTCAATTTTCACAATAAGTAGCTCCAAACCAAGCTTTTAGGCATGTGTTATAAAGCTAAAGAAAGAATATTACGAACTAGTCATGCATTTGATTTTAAATAGAGCAATTTATAATTCCATCTACATGATACTTTCTTGTTGGATATGAAGGACATAATTGTCAAATGAAGAATAGAGGCCATCTTAAAGATTTGGAAGGAGTCTTTTGAAGGTTGAGAGAGCATAACGTTGAGACAAAAACAAAATAGAGACCATCTTAAAAATTTGGAACGAGTCTTTTGAATGTTGAGAGAGCACAACTTGAGACAAATCCCATGCAATAGGGAGTCCTCAGGCAGGCGAGAAGAAATAAGAGACACTCAATTTAACAATCACTGATTTTTTTTTTTTTACATATATCAAATACTTGAATCCCTATAATATAGCCAACATAATTATAATTTTATAATTTTACCTATATGCCTCTAAGATATTCCCTTATCGAGCAATTATCATAAGATAATTATTCATTATACCCAGCCAATTTTATATCCACATCTACAATCCCATTCTCCTATATAATAAATATAGGAACTTATACTTATCATAGCTTCAAAATATACTTTTTTCTTTTATTCTAATTTTCCATTTATTTTAGCAAATATCCCAGATATTAGAATTATAGCAACTACAAATAACATATACCAAGGAACCTCACTTTCAGTATCTTTTTATAATTCAAAAATCTTTTCATGATCAATACAAAGTAATAAAAATCAAAGATGACTGTTGAAATATTTCTATTGTAATAAGAAACTCTTATCTCAAACTACAACTAATTAGTACTAGGAGATACTTCAGCATGCATATCTTTAAAAACTTTAGCATACCTTCAGCACAGCCTTTTTTCATCATTCAAACTAAATCAATTCTTGTAGTACATGATCATCAATCTTCTTAAGATCAATAAAAATTGTATGAAAATACTTCCATTGTTCTCCATATTTTTAAATTATTTTTTTATAAAACAATTATTTTTGTACTATATCTTTCTAGAATAAAACCAAATTAATTCTCCAATATACTTCTTCAATAATTAAATATTTTTTTAACATTCCAAAAAATATTGAAAATATCTGACAATCAAATGGCTACAAAATCAATCATAAATCTCGAAAGATTTATTAACCACACATCCATATTTACATATTCATTTCTATAATACCCAACTTATTTATCATTACCTAATTTATCACACAACATTAATTATATAATATAGTCATTACAATTACAATTTAAAAAAAGCAAACTTTACTAAAAGCATAAAACTCCACAGGAGTACACACCAAATTGAAAATAATTTAGCATTTCTTTGACCTAATTCTTGATCAATTATATCACCAAGATTTAACATAACAGGAATATTGTTGTACCTTGGTCTACAAACCAAGTTAGTTGCATTGAGATATAGAATGACTGCATGTATCATTGACATTAATGTTGCACAAACTGAAACTTCAAACTGGTCATTATAGAGAGGTCTGTAGATAAGTGTTTTACTAAATAGACGTAACAAACACCGAAATTGGGTTTTAGGAGTTAACAAGTCAGAAAATCCCAGATTTAGCCCGATCTACCAAATCCAACCGGTGAAGATTTACCAACTCTAGCTGAAGGCATGAATTAGAGATTCAACAATTTCAGTCAATGAAATGACTGTGAGAGAGCTGCAATGGAAAGAAAGATTTATTTCTAAAATAATTAGCTAACATGAGAAATTAATCAATTACTTAAGAAGTAATTACTGTATGTTTAATCACTTATGGAAATTGGATTTTAGATTTATATCTCATTTACTAATTAATAAGAAATATCACTACTCAATAAATATACACCATCATCATTAACTTTATCCCAAGTAGCTTTGTTAAATAAATAGACAACTAACATTTATTATTAATTTCTTAAAATATTAATAAACAATAAACCAATTAATAGACTGATCACTATTTAGTTAGTTAATAATTTAATTATAATTATAAAATTAATAAATTTTAAGCTTTAATTAGTGTTTAATGATTCAAATTAGGCATTCGGTACTGCAACAAAACTATTTCATAGATTAATTAGAAAATGATTTATAGACATAGCACTAATTAACACAAATAACCTTATGAAATAATTGTAATGATGAATTCATGGTCGAATTGCTAAACAACCAACAATTAAGCTATCATTAACTTTTCTATTTTCAATTAAACATAAAATCACAGTTAGTTGTAGATTTATTATCTAATCCCCGCATCATTTTTTGATTTATCCACATAATCTTCTGTTACTAACCAAGCTTTCACAATAATTGTCATTTACAAAATTTTTCTAAATAAATAATTGTTTTTACATTAGACTAAAATTAATCACCAATCCAAATAAAAGTCCAAACTTTTAATTCCCTAATTATTTAACTAAATGCCAAATAGATGAGTAATTAAAACAAATCACAAATATTGACTATTAAGCATTCATGAACAAATTAACTGAAGCATTATAAGCAATTTACAAATTTAGATTGATTGAATTTTGCTACCAACAAATAGCTCCTAAATCTAGCTACATATAACCAAAATGCTACGGTTCAAGATGAAACAGCGAAAATCAATTGCCGATTTTCGAAAATTCCTTACCTTGAACAAAGTTGTGAACCCTTTCTAGAACTTTTTTAACAAGCCGATTGGTGAGTTCAAAGTAATCATCTTTTTCTTCTTTTTCTTCTTCTTCTTCTTAACTTTCAGAGCTCCATTTTTCTTCCCGGAAGAAGAATTGTCTTTAATTCGACCCTTCACCTCGGCCACTTCCATCCCTTCCTTCCTCTTAATAGACGGAAGCATCACTCTTATCTTCCTCTCCGCCTCCAACCTCGCTGCCGCTGCTGCCCTGCTCATCGAAGCCGCCGCAATCCGCGAAGCCGATAGGAGCGCCCTCGCCGCCGCTACGTCGATCGCATCGTCCCCGACCGGAAAATATGAGAACCCCTCAGGATCTTTACAAACAGGGCATAGGTAATTGAACACAGACTCATCGGGAAGGCAGGAGAAGTGGGCGGCGGCTGGGCAGCGGATGCAGCGAGCGATATGTGCGACGGCGGCGTCGCCGGATGGCGGCGGAGGTGAATCGAGGACCTCGAGGCAGACCGAGCAGAAGAATCCACGATGGTGACGTAGAACGCAGGAGGTGCAGAGGTGCCGGAAATTGGCGCGGTGACCGACGTAGTGGAGAGGCCACTGGTTGCGAGAGGAGCACAATTCGTTGTCGCATCGGCGATCAGCGACGATAGGGTCGGCAGCGAAGATTTTTACTGCCGTCGTCATGATTCTGGATTGCTTTGTGGAATTAGGGTTTCGCGTCCTATGATTGAGTTCCATCTCAAACGGCTTCGTGAGGTCGGTGAGAGCTGAGCTGATGGATTTTCAAGCTAGGGCATGAAACAGATCGAATCGAGATCAATTTGTATCGATCATTTTGAATTTCTGGATGGACAAGCTCAATTGTAGGACAAAAATGTTATTTACGGAGGATGTCCTAGCTTTATCACTAGGAGTAATGAAACAATTTACATCAAGCATATATCTTTTAAGAAGCAAATGGGGTCATGTGTTTCAAAATCATCCAAACATAGAACATGAGTAGAATTAACATTGCCTCCGCTTAAAAGAGAACATCACAAGTTTCGAGGTCTTTAATAGTAATTTCCGCATATCTCTTTACTTATAACTAAATGATACGAGTTATAAGTAAAAGGATAAACAATTTTATGATGATAGATTGCATCAGTATTCCAATGACAAGTAGAGTCATTGGTAATAAGAACCTTAGAAATAACTTCAATACAAAAATCAGTAGCATTAAGATTATGAGAAAAATTCCAACAATCGTTCTAAATAATATCCTTGAGTTTTGTATTAAGAGAAAAATTAAATCAAATAAAAATAGAATCTCCAAAATGCTCTTTAAGAGAGACCTCATCGAACCAATGGTCAACATAAGAAAATAAATAATTATTAGTAACTTTGAAATGTAAGGCGTTTCTAAACTTATTAGCACTGTGATAAGTTTCTTTCGAAATGGAGTAGATGCAAAATGAACATTATTATACCAAAAAGAACAATAATAATTAAAAGTTCAATCTTTCAAATAAAAATAAGCGTTTTAAAATTTTCAAATAATTTTGATTTTGCACATAATATTAATAGAGTTGAGAGAAGGAAAACCAAAACTAATAACATGATTAGGTAAAGCAATATTAGTTAAGGAAATAGTGAGAAGCTTCTTATCATCATCAATATTAAGAAAAAATTAGAAAATAAAATAGAAATATTTCTCCTCAAACCTTTAGGTAATAAAGTGGCAAAACCAATGATATAAGAACCTCCAAATAGTGAATTTAATTAACTAAAGTCTATCTGTATCAAATAAAGTTCTCTTCCAACCAGTAACCCAAATTTGAATTTGGTTAATAAGTTTATAGCAATCAATAATAACTAAATTGAAAAGTTTTAAGATTACTCCAAAGTAATTCCATGATAATGGTTTAATAGGAGAACACATAAAGTACAAACATTATATTGAAGATCACGCTCAATCAATGTTTTGAAAACTAAATCGGACATCAAACCAAAAGAATGAAAGGTTCATGGCTCATTGGTTTGATCGGGGTGATCTAATTAATACAATAATAAAATAATAATAATAATAATAATGAATAAATAAAATACTTTGAGTGGCTTTATTCAATGGAACTTTTTCTCTTGAGTGGTCCACTCTGATTTTTTAAACGTTGCTATCAACTGTTTTAAAAAAGTAATGACATGTTTAAAAATATTGATGTAAAGACTAAAAGTTTACTAAAATTATTAAAGATGTTATAAATAAAATTAATATGATGAGAACCATCTTTACTAAAGATAAGAATACCAACAATATCAATCAAATGATTTATAGTGTCAACATAACTATTTCTAGCCAATTGATTATCAAACATAACATAAAGAGAATGCATAGTGATGGCAAACAGATGAGAAGAAAGAGGAAAATCTTACCTAAGACCCAAAGAAGAAAAAATAGTAATTTAGCTCACTATTAATAAGAACAAAAAATTAACATCAGAATTGCAAGTAGCAATCCAAGTAATGAAAATACGAAGAATATCAATCCTTTGCAATTTTTCATAGAAAAAAAATTTATTGACCTTATCGAAAGCTTTAGTGATGTCTATTTTAGCACAAAGCTTTTTTAGCATGATTACTAGAATATTAAAGCCATAAAGAAGCTCATTTGCTAATATAATATTATCAACAATCTCACGACCTCTAATAAAAGTAGCTTGAGCAGGATGAATGATCTTAGAGAGAATCACATTAAGCCTATCAGCCAGCAAAATAACCTTTGATTTTATAAAGAAAATTGCATAAAGAAATATGATGATAGCCAAAAACAGATTTAATGACATGACTTTTAAGGATAAGCAAAATAGTTGAATGGTTAACTCTATGGGGGATTTTAACATTGGTAAAAAATAATTAATTATGAAAATACAGTTTGTGCCAACAATATCCTTATCAAACTCGTTTTCGATGAGGCCCAATTCTCTTCTTTAGAAGCCTAGGATCTAGTCACAAGACTTTCTTATTGACTATTCTAGAGAACTAGTGGTGGACCCACCCACATATAAATTTTAAACACTTCTTGACCCTTGTTGTAAAGTCCCACATGCGTGGTCACAAGCCCGCATTTGTCACTTAAGATGGCTAAGACCAACATGTGAAGACTTGGGAATGAGTTCCCATAGGATCAACTGGTCTTAGGGTAAAACTGGGTGGCTTGGTCTTGCACACAAACACACTTGAACTCACCATAAGTTCCCCAACACACCCAAAACCATCAATTCACCTAATTGATCCATCTCCCCATTGATGTCCACAACCACTCCTTAACTCTTTTGAAGAGTCATGTAGGTGGCCCTAAATCCTTAACCTTTGGTTATGATGTTTGGGACCAACATGTGATGGCCTCAAGATGAATTCTCATAAGGTTCATATGACTTTGGGAAGGTTTTCCATGGCTTGCATGATCACCACCTAAAACCACCCAAATTTGTCCAAATACCAAAAAATTTCTCCAATTCACCAAAATTCCCAAAAATACCAAAAAATTGTCAAAATTCCCAATTTCACTCAAAACTTCACCAAAATTGATTCTAGCCATCCAGTTTACCTTAATTCACCAAAAATTCCCCCAAATCTACCAAATTCCCAAAAAATGCACAATTTTACCCAATGTGTCTAAATTTCACCAAAATTTCCAAATTTCCCAATTTCCTCTACCTCCAATCAAGGCTTTATGAAATTCATCATGACAAATTTTCAACTCCATTTAAACTCCACTAAGCCCACCATACCAATTTTAAAAGCCCAAAATTAAACTCTTTACATTAAATTTAAAAGCCCAAATTCCAAACCCAATTTTTAACCTTTTTCAAAATCGAATGAGCCCACTTGATATGGAATTCCCCTCTCATCCATTTGAATAAAATCAAACCGCAAGTCCAAAAGTTCATAATTTAATAAACAAAATTTGGTCATATACAAGCCTCTAAGCCATGGCCAAGCCACATGCAAGCCTCTTTAGCCCCACACATTCCATTCTCCCCTAAATAACAAAAGGACGGCCTAATTTAAAGCCTCTAAGAGAGTGATTCACCTCATCCAAAGCCTATGTTCAAACCCTAGCCCTATGGATGGGACTTCATGACCAAAGACCAAAAAAATCACATCAGCCACCATGGGGAGGCGAATCAAGCCCTTTCCATGGATCTAACCCAAGTCAATCCCAAAAGTAGCCCAAAACCCATTCACTTCAATCGACTCATGAACACCTGTCGGCACTATTTTTGGTGTGGGGTTTGCCCGTAGGAAGCTGTCGGTCATCGGAATTGAAATCCCGTTGCTCGCTTCGGAAGGACGTTTTAAAAAAATTTAGTTTTGAAAAAGATGAAGTCAAACTGACCCCATAATTTTCATAGTTTAGATGAAAGAGCACTTTATCTCAAATCATGTATCTATCCCGAAGGATGAATGCAAGAATTGAGAGTGAGACTCGATCAAATAAACTAAAGAAAGTTATGACATTTGTTTGGTCTACGAAACCAATGTATTGGCCGACAAGTTCCCCTATTTAATATAAGAAATTAAATAGGGTTTATATTATGCTGGGTTCGGGAAAAGCTTCCTATAGAGTTAATTACATCTTAGATAACTGAAGTTACCTAA